CACAGTCTCTCTCACACTCTCTCTCTCACAGTCTCTCTCACTCTCTCTCACAGTCTCTCTCACACTCTCTCTCTCTCTCTCACACACTCTCTCTCACTCCCTCTCAGTGTCGGGTGCACTTCCTGTTTCTGGTTGTCATGGAAACCGCTGAGCCCCGCGTCACTGCGCATGCCCAGCCGCTGGTCGCTCCTTAAAGGGGCCGCGCGCCCCCCTCCCCCCCCCCACCGCCGGGCCCCACCGGCAACATTCACCTGCACTCTCCCTCTCCATTGACAGTCTGTCTGTCGATGCCACACCCACGATCCTGGCGTTTGGGACAGTCAATTTACTGTGTGGACAAGTTTGTAGGGAGTACCTGTAGCTCAGCGGTCAGCGCACTACGCCTCGCAAGCGAGAGACCTGGGTTCGATGCCCCCCCACTCCCCCCCCGGCCGGACGAAACCTCGGCCAAGTTTCCTTACCCCACACGCGCCTGATAATAATCCCGCAAGGGGGGAAAAAAAATAATAATAATACATTTGGTCGCTCAATCCACGGCTGTTTGGATTTGGCAGCGCCTTGGGACGTCCTCCTGACGTGAAAGGCGCTCTATAAATGGAATCTTGTTGTTGTTGTTGTTGTTGTTTGTGGGGCACCGCTGTGCGCAATCGGCTGCCGCGTTTCGCCCACAAATACGCAGTCAAATTCACTTTAGTCTATTCTGCGAAGCGCTTTGAGACGTCTCGAAGACGTGATGAGGCGCAGGGATTTTTATGTGTGTGTTATATGTTTCTACATGTTTAAAAACAAGAGTTGATGCCCTCAATGGTACGTGGAAATTAAAAGTCCTTCTTCCCATAGAAGTAGCAGCAACAACTTGCCCCTCACGCGGGATAGCGACCCGGAGCGCTTCACAGTGGCGGAGTCTGACGACGAGTCAGGGACATACTATGTTATCTCCCGACAGCTGAGTCACATTTCACACCCCGAGGCTAAGCTGCAGTTAACCAGTTTTAACTAATTCTCTGTCGAACACTTGCTTGGAAGGCCTGCGTATCTGGGAGGAATTCCATGGAAATATACTTTTAAAGAAGGAGCTTCCCCCCTTATTTCTTCAGTGGGCAAAGGTCTTTTGAAATTTAGGGCAATCAAACTATTGAAGTGCTTGGGCTCCCCCCTCCGCTCAGCGGCCTGCTCCACGACCCCCGCCTCGCCCACCATCGGCCTCCCTGCCCCCAGCGTTTGGAACTCCACCCCACAGTCCCTTCACCTCGCCCCCTCCCTCGCCTCCTTGAATGCCCATCTCAAAACCTTCTACGACTGCGCCTTCGGTCACCCTCCTATCCCCACCCCCCCTGGCCTTCACCCCTCCTGATCCCAATCCACAGCTCGGGTCCAAATCCTTGACTGTCCAGCGCTTTGGGACATCCTCCTGATGTGAAAGGCGCTGTATAAGTGCGATGTTATTGTTGTGCGGAGTGGCAGAGCCCAATAACAGCTACACGGGCTTGGCTGGTATCAGCAGTGCCCCGGAATACTGTGGACCCACCAGTCTTAGGAACTCGACTGGAGACCTCCACAGAGAGTGGACTCGATTCGACTGCCAGGCATGTCACTTTGTAGCCAGTTCAGCCCCTGCTTACCTTCCCCAAGGATAGTCACTAACTGGTCATTTGACATCGACAAGCAGATATGAACCCTCAATGGGCGGGTGGCAGATAGCAGGAACTCGGGTGAGCTTCCCGGTGGGCAACACAGCTCTGCATGAAATGGGTGAGAACACGGCTACCATATTCGCCCACAAATCTAGTCAAATTCACTTTACAGTGTGTTCTGTGAAGCGCTTTGGGACGTCCTCCCGACGTGAAAAGCGCTATATCAAATGCAAGGATTATTATTATTACCATCTTCCTGCCCACACTCCAGAGACGCATCCCTACCCGCGAGAGCGAGGGTTCCACAAGTTGCAGGTACAGAGCTCGAGCAACAGATGATTACCTCACTCTTCACAAACGGGTCAGAGGAAGCCATTCCACTGCATCCGCAGGAGCTCAGGACTATAGAGAAGTTTGTACACAGGTCTTATATGCCATAAACTGACCTTGCTGTCCCAATGTGTTGTATGTTGAAGAGACAATGAGATTGACCAGTGTCCTCACCCCTTCTCAGCATCATTGGAGGTCGCGCTTTCAGCCACTAGGCCCCAAAACTCTGGAACACTCTCCCTTAATCCCTCTGATTTGCCCCCTCTCTCCCCTTTTTCAAGTCCCTCCTGAAAACCTTCTTCGTCCGTGCTTATGGCCACCTTCCCCACCAGCTCAGAATCAGGCTCTGGGACACTATCCTGCGTGGAGGGCGCTATATGAGTGCAAGTTCTTGCTGTTGTAGTCTTACGATGGCTCTCATACCTGTCCCACACACTGAAGAGAACAGAAACCAGTCTGTTCCTTCCTGATCAAACCACGGTCATCCAATGTGTGCGATGCACTGTACATGAAGTGACTAACTGAAGGCACCACTTTTAACACCACTACAATCGACCACCATTCATATCTGGTCCCAAGCTCACCAACTACCCACGGAGCACAGGGTATACACAGGGGCTGTGTATGAGAGAAGTTGGAAAGCTGGGACCAACATCTCCAGTGAATCTCTCTCCGTGCTCCTCTTATCCACCTTTGTAGATAGATTCGGCGGCTTCCGATTAGCCCGTGAAATAAATTGACAAAACAGACAGATTATCTACAGATATATTGTTAGAAGGAGGGAATGGACAGGTGAGGTGGCAAGTGAGGCATTGGGCATCCTGTAGAATTGTTCAGAAAATCATTGCAAATCTCAAGTATAAAGAATGAATTACACCTTATTTTAGTGTCTCTAAGAAAACGAAGATCCTAGGTACAAGCCACACTGTAATGATCAGGAGATGAAGCCCAGCGATGAAGTATTTACAGACAGAGATGGGCTCAGGAGGCATGCAGGAAGCGGTTGAAGGAGTTGTACGCAGATTCCAGGTCGAACAGCATCTGTCGCACTTGAGAATCATCCAGTTCGTCTGAGGCTGACATCGCAGTGAGTGTCTGCAACCTGTAAACAAGCGGTCACCCGACACAGCAATACACAAGGTCATCAGACACAGACACTCGCAGACAGACAGAGAGAGACACACACAGACACACAAACAGACAGAGAGACAGACACAGAGAGATAGACAGAGAGACAGAGAAAGACAGACGCACAGAGAGACAGACAGATACAGAGACAGATGCACAGAGAGACAGAGAGAGAGACACACACAGAAAGATGGAGAGACAGAGAGAGAGACCAACACACGGAGACAGAGAAAGTCAGACACACCAAGAGACAAAGAGAGGCAGGCACACGGAGAGACAGACAGAAAGAGTGAGCGAGCTGCAGTGACACTGACCACTGACTGACTCGTTGCTTCCCCTCGAAGTCCTGAGGCAGATTGCTCATCCGGTTCATGGTCTCCATCAGCTCCCGCAGATCAGGTTGAATCTGAGGCAGAAGTCAACGGTGTCAGGAACATCTCCCCGTGCGTGGCGTGTGGGCAACAGGGGCAGGGCTGAAGGCTTGAGTGTGTCTGTGGGGTGGGGAGGGGGGGGCGCGTAGGTGGGGGGGTGGTGGGTGGGGTTTGTGGTTAGAGGCAAGGTTGCTGACCAGTGATCGAGGGAAGGTTTGTTAACAAGAGCTGAGAGGGGGCAAGGGCTGCTGGCAAGGTGAGGGGGTGCAGGTGGGGTGGGGTTGATTGAGGAGGGTCACCAGTGGGAATTGAAGGGGTGGGGAGTGGCGTGTCTCGGGGACATCATTATTGAAGCAGACTCCTGACAACTTGAGCTTAATAATAATAATAATAATCCTTGCATTTGACATAGCGCATTCCATGTCGGGAGGACGTCCCAAAGCGCTTCACAGAACCCACTGTAAAGTGAATTGACTGTATATTTGTGGGCGAACGCGGCAGCCAATTGCGCACAGCAATGTCCCACAAACAGTCATGGATTGAAAATAACCAATTTATTAATGGTTTTTTTTTTGGAGGGACTATTATTAGGCTCTGTGGGGAGTAAGGAAACTTGCCCAAGGTTTCGCCCTCTGCCTGGAATTGAACTCAGGTCTCTCACTTGCAAAGCGAGTGCTCTAACCACTGAGCTACAGGACTCCACCTAAGCTTGAAAATTAGGTGAGAGCGAAGCTCCTGATTGCTTACCTCGTCCATCGCCCTGATCTCCAGACGCAGCTTATCCATCACTGTGATAAACAGCTAAAACACAAGACAGTGCAGTGTTAAGACAGACTGACAAGAGGTTTACAGGGGGCTACGGGGACCAGAGGACACAGCCGTCAGGAAAGATTAGACAGGTTGGGTGGGGTGGGGGAGGGGGCGGGGCTGACTCACCGACACAATGTCTGCGATACAACGGTTCAGATTCCCTTTGTCGTCCTTGATTGTAATCGGACGATCTTGCTTAATCCTTTCCATTGCCAACGGGCAGTCCAGCTGTTGAGATAAGAGACCCCGTCACTCTCAGACCCCCGGCCGTCCCCCATGGCCCCTTGAACATTCTCCCCAGTGGCCTCGTATTCTACTCCCATCGCTCCCCTACCCCATGGCCGCGGTACTCCTCCCCCATCGCCCCCCCCCCCACCGCTTCTCCCTGACCCCGATGTCACGGTGGCGACACTGACTCTGTATCTTCGGCAGAATTCATCGATGGCGCTGACGTCAGAGCCCTGGACCTGTCTGAACGCGGCTTTATACTGGACCAGCAGCCGAGAGCAGGCAGCCGTGTACCTGGTCATCACACAGAGAGAGAGAGAGAGAGAGAGAGAGCAACTCAGCACAGTCCAGCTCATCACAGCAACACCACTCCCACCCCCCATCCATCCAAATACACACACATACAAACAGCAAACCACCTACACACAAGGCAACCTCTCACAGTCCAGCTCAGCACACACAGGAACATCTCCCCATCCCCACCACACGCGCACACAAACAGCACCCACACACAGCAAACCTCCCGCCGCATGCAAGGCGCCCACACACACACAGCACTCCCTAACACACTCACACAGTAAACCTCCCCAAGCACATACACACACACACAAACACACAGCACCCCACCCACACTCACATACAGCAAGCCTGCTCCCCACCCGCCAACATACACAGCATCAACCCACACACACTGCCTCCCCCACCACCAACTACCACATATACACAGCACCATTGCCCATCCCCGGGTGTTCCAGGACTCACACTCACTCATTGGGAGTGACACAGTCCTTGATGTAAGCTTTCTCCAGAGCCTGAAGGGTCTTCACCACAGCAAACAGCTCCGCCATGTTATCATACCTGTGAGATACAATAACCCTTACTTCTCATACAGCCCTTTCGCATCATGAGGACTCCTCATAGGATTTACTGTAAAGTGTAGTGGCTGTGTGTTTTGTGGATAAAAGCGGCAGGCAATTTGCACCATCCCACAAACAGCCACAAAGTGAGTGACCAATTTTATCTATGGGATCTTTAATGTCCACCTGAACAGGCAGACAACTGCAGTGTCAGCTTAGAATACATGATTTCCAAGTCACAAGGTGGGGCTTGAAACCCCAACCTTCTGACTCAGCGACAAGAATTACTACCGACTGAGCCAGGCCGACACACAAGATGGTGAACAGAGCACAGCCAAGAAAGAGACATAGATCAGCATGTCAGTGATCGAACAATCTCTCCCCAGTATCCCAGTCTGTCTCTCTGTCCCCAGTATCCCAGTCTGTCTCTCTGTCCCCAGTATCTCAGTCTGTCTCTCTCTCCCCAGTTTCCCAGTCTGTCTCTCTGTCCCCAGTATCCCAGTCTGTCTCTCTCTCCCCAGTTTCCCAGTCTGTCTCTCTGTCCCCAGTATCCCAGTCTGTCTCTCTCTCCCCAGTTTCCCAGTCTGTCTCTCTGTCCCCAGTATCCCAGTCTGTCTCTCTGTCCCCAGTTTCCCAGTCTCTCCCTTTCTCATCAGTATCCCAGTATCTCTCTCTCCCCCTCTCCAGTATCCCAGTCTATCTCTTCACGGTGTCCCAGTCTCTCTCTCTCTGTCTCCCCAGAATCACAGTCTGTCTCTCCCCCAACCCCCCATTGTCTGTCTGTCTGTCTCTGGCCCTCCCACAATTTGTCTGTCCGTGGCTCTCCCGTTGTCTTGTCTATCTCTTTCTCACTCTCCCCTTTGCTGTATGACATTATCCCCGGGGCACACTGCCCCTCGCTCTGTGTGTGTCTGTCTCTCTCCTTCTTCTATGCTCTCTGTGTTATTGTTTGTGTTAATAGTCAGTCACTGGGCACTTACAAGGCCAGTCAGAGGCTTGCATTAGACACCCCAAACCAAGAAAAAGATACTTGCTTTTCTCGCTCTCTGGCATTCTTATACAACTTGACTTCCTGGAAAAGAAACACAAAATAAACGTATTGTGACCAGTTTTCCACCAAAATCCCATCTCAACTTTGAGAATCCCAGGCCAAGCAGTCAATGGCTGCTCAATCCGGGCCCAACCAACTACAACATCTACAGGCTAGTATAACCTAATGAGACTAAGAAAAGGGGCAGAGATAGAGCAAGAGGGGCAGAGAGAAAAGGGGCCAGAGAGAATGAAAGGGGCCAGAGAGAGGGGGGCATAGAGAAAAGACCGAAAGGGAGAGAGAAAGGGAACAGAGAAAGGGAAAAGGGGACAGAGAGAATGAAAGGGGACACAGAGAGAGAGAGGGAGAGGGACAGAGGGGAGCACAGAGAGAGTGGGTGACCTGCAGACAAACAGCACTGCTGTGACACTGCACTGACTTACCTCGTACAGCTCTGGTCTGTTGCCTGCAGTTGGAATAAGAAAAAAAACACACAATAAATCTCGAACCACCAAGGAAACAAGTCAACCTGAGATCCAGACCCACCCCTGGACCCCGCACTCTCTCCCCGGAGGGACGCACCCTATTTACCTAATTCTGCCGACAAAACAAGAGGCTCTCCTCCTTGGCTCCTATCAGTACCTTCTCACCTCAGGCGCTGACACGATCAATCTACATGGACGCACTCTCCACCTCACTGAGCCAGTACGGATCCTCGATGTCCTACTTAACCCTCAACTGTCTTTTAAACCCTACATCGGCCCTTCAGCTTTCTCCCACTTCCGCAACATTCCCCGCCTCTGTCACTAACTCTTCCCTCGGGCCGCCAAGACCCTTTTCTGTGCCTTTATCACGTCCAGGCTCGACTACGACGACGCCCCGCTCGCCGGACGTTCCAACTCTTCCCTCCACAAGCCGCAGATCATTCATAATTCTGAGTTCCCGCACTTGTACCGTGAGCCGATCGCGCCATCCTCACCCAGCTTCCAAAATCCTCCTCCTCATTTTTAAACCCTCCACGGTCTTGCCCCATCAACAACAACAACAACAACAAGATTCCATTTATAAAGCGCCTTTCACGTCAGGAGGACGTCCCAAGGCGCTGCACAGTTGGGTCATGACCCGAGCAGGGGGGAAATGGTCAGGTGAGGGGAGGGGAGGGAGCGAGGAGGGGGGAAATGGTCAGGGTGAGGGGAGGGAAGGGAGGGAGCGAGGAGGGGGAAGAGAGTCGAGAGGGGAGCTGAAGGCACGTACCTCCGCGACCAATTAAAATGTGACCAAACTGTCCACTACCACTGCTTAGCGGGCACTGGCCCGATCCATGACTCCCGCCCTGCCATCAGCGATCGGGCGGTCACCTCTCTACCCCCACCCTGAGGAACTCCATCCTGGAGACCCCCCCCCTCCCGCCTCCTTCCAGACCCATCTCAAGACCCTCCTCTTTTAACTGTGCCTTCACCCGCCCTCCTACCCCACTTGCCCTCCACCCCAGCTCGGGTGCACACCCTTCGCTGCCCAGCGCTGTGGGTCGTTCTCCCAAAAGGCGCTCTGTCAATACAGACTGTGTCACTCGTTACATGGAGTTTCCCTGTGTCTGGGAATGGAATGTGCTCTCTCTCTCTCTCCCACATCACTCTCTCTCTCTCTCTCTCTCTCACTCCCACATCACTCCCTCTCTCTCACTCCCACATCACTCCCTCCCTCTCTCTCTCACATCACTCTCTCTCACATCATTCCCTCCCCCTCCCTCCCTCTCTGCCTCTCTCTCCCTCCCTCTCTCTGTCTCTCTCCCTCCCTCCCTCTCTCTGTCTCTCTCTCTCTCACTCCTCCCTGTCTCTGTCTCTCTCTCCCTCCCTCTCTCTCTCTCTCTCTCTCTCTCTCTCACTCCCTCCCTGTCTCTGTCTCTGTCTCTCTCTCCCTCCCTCTCTCCCTCTCTCTCTCACTCCCTCCCTCCCTCCCTCCCTCTCTCTGTCTCTCTCTCTCCCTCCATCTCTCTGTCTCTCTCTCCCTCCCTCCCTCCCTCCCTCTCTCTCTCTCTCTCCCTCCCTCCCTCTCTCTGTCACTCCCTCCCTCTCTCTCTCTCTCTCTCTGTCTCTCTCTCCCTCCCTCCCTCTCTCTGTCTCTCTCTCTCTCCCTCTCTCTCTCTCCCTCCCTCCCTCTCTCTCTCTCTCTCTCTCTCTCTCCCTCCCTCCCTCTCTCTGTCTCTCTCTCTCTCCCTCGCTCTCTCTCCCTCCCTCCCTCTCTCTGTCTCTCTCTCTCTCCCTCCCTCCCTCTCTCTCTCTCTCTCTCTCTCCCTCTCTCTCACTCCTCCCTCTCTCTCTCTCTCTCTCTCACTCCCTCCCTCTCTCTCCCTCCCCCTCCCTCTCTCTGGAGGGTCAGACAGTCCTGTTTACCTAATCCCTGTCAGTATAAGGTGCGGGATGCCGGGGCCCAAGGCCGGGGCCGGACCCCCCCCCGGGTGTGTTTGGGGGGAACACTACCAACTGACCCCCAGTGATATCACTGACGAGAGCTTTGGACCCTCCGACTGTTAGGGCTGTGGGTTGTTACCGGGTTACCAGGAGCTGAGGGGGGGGTTCCCTCCCGGTGACTGTGGGGGGCGGTCCGGTCCGGGCGGACACTGTCCCGCGGTAACTGACCTGAGGTGATGTTACTCGCTGGGATCCCGTGAAACATCCTCCTCCACAGCCGCGGCCCGGACCACAGCAACCAACTGCCACCCCGAGGCTTCTCCCGCGCACACCAGGCCCCGGCCTCCTGCCACAGCGCCACCTGGTGTCCGGCTCCGGCCACAGCGCCACCTGGTGTCTAACTCCAGCCACAGCGCCACCTGGTGTCTAACTCCAGCCACAGCGCCACCTGGTGTCTAACTCCAGCCACAGCGCCACCTGGTGTCTAACTCCAGCCACAGCGCCACCTGGTGTCTAACTCCAGCCACAGCGCCACCTGGTGTCTAACTCCAGCCACAGCGCCACCTGGTGCCTAACTCCAGCCACAGCGCCACCTGGTGTCCGGCTCCAGCCACAGCGCCACCTGGTGTCTAACTCCAGCCACAGCGCCACCTGGTGTCCGGCTCCAGCCACAGCGCCACCTGGTGCCTAACTCCAGCCACAGCGCCACCTGGTGCCTAACTCCAGCCACAGCGCCACCTGGTGTCTAACTCCAGCCACAGCGCCACCTGGTGCCTAACTCCAGCCACAGCGCCACCTGGTGCCTAACTCCAGCCACAGCGCCACCTGGTGCCTAACTCCAGCCACAGCGCCACCTGGTGCCTAACTCCAGCCACAGCGCCACCTGGTGTCTAACTCCAGCCACAGCGCCACCTGGTGTCCGGCTCCAGTCAGTGTCACAGTCACATCTCCCCCTCGTGTCTGACACCTGTCACTCCCCCCTCCCCCCCCCCCCCCCCCACCCCCACCCCAAGCCTCGGCTCTCGCCAACCTGCGCCCGATACTATCCAGAATTCGGTAAAACGGGATGTGTCCCTCCGGGGAGAGAGAGAGCGCTGTCCGTTCCGACCGTCTGTCTGCGGGACTCCCGCGTGTCGGAGGGAGGCCACGAGGTTTGGTTTGGATGCTCTTAGGCAACGGAGATGGGATTCCGAGCGTGTCGGACGCCCGGCAGCGTCCCGTCTGGGGACACACGGAATTCCTGTCGTTTCGCCGTCAAACAATGTCCCCCTTTGGGTTCCCATTCAATGTTGTAACTTGTGAACCATTCAGACAATCCGTCTCCTCGGCTCCACCGTTCACCGGGGGATCCAATTCATTAAGATCTCCGCCGCCGCCGATGTGCTCACCAGCACTGGACTCCGCGCCTCCATCACCCTCGTCCTCTCCATCCTCCGCTGACTCCCTATTGCAGAACGGATCCTCTCACTCACTTACAAATCACTGACTTCTCTACTTCCCCCTCTGTTGGCCCTGGTCCTGGTCCTGGCCCTGGCCCTGGCCCTGACCCTGACCCTGGCCCTGGCCCTGACCCTGACCCTGACCCTGGCCCTGGCCCTGGTCCTGGTCCTGGTCCTGGTCCTGGCCCTGGTCCTGGTCTTGGCCCTGACCCTGGTCCTGGCCCTGACCCTGGTCCTGGCCCTGGCCCTGGTCCTGGCCCTGGTCCTGGCCCTGGTCCTGGCCCTGGCCCTGGCCCTGGCCCTGGCCTCCGACACGTGCCTTGTCCACTCTGCTCCACTGTTGGCGGCTGTGCTTTCAGCCTCTACGCCCCCACCTTATCCAATTCTCTGTCTCCATCTCTCCGCCTTGCCCTCTCCTTGGTTATCTTCAGACCAGATAAAGGCATTCCTCGTTGACTGTTCCTACATTCTTCTCTCCCCCCACACCCCCAGTCGGCCTTAGGCTCCGCCACTGTTAAGCACTACATAAATGCAAGTTGTTATTGTTGTTCGCAAAGGGGAAACTTATTTTAAGTTGTTCAATAACATTTAAAATAATAAAAATACTAATCCTTGTGTTTGATAATGCGCTTTACAGAATATACCATAAAGTGCATTGACTATATTTTGTGGGCGAAACACGGCAGCCAATTGCACACAGCAGTGTCCCACAAACAGTCGTGGATTGAATGACCAAATTATTATTATTTTTTTGAAGGGAAGTTCGCCAATCGACAAACAACCAGGTTCTTACTTACTGCTAGGTTAACAAATAGAATCATAGAATTACACAGCACAGAAGGAGGCCATTCACCCCACCGTGTCTGTGCCGGCTCTTTGAAAAGAGCTATCCAAATCAATAACCATTCCCCCGCACTCTCCCCACAGCCCTGCAAACTTGTCCTCCTCAGGGTTGAGAGTAATGGAGTGGTGGGTGACGGGCAGACGGGAGAGAGAGAGGGTGGAGGAGAGGGTGTATGTGCGGGTATGTGTGGGGGGAAGGAGTAATAATAATAATAATCCATGCATTTGATATAGCGCCTTCACAAAGTCCTTCACTGAATATAGTGTAAACAGAGGCGTGTGGAGTAAGAAAACTTGCCTAAGGTTTTGCCCTGCCCAGGAATCAAACCCGGGTCCTCTCGCTTGCGAGGCGAGCGCTCTAACCAATACGCTACGGGGCTGTATAATTTAGATATATGAAGTGCTTTTCATGTCAGGAAGCCTTCCCAAGGACAGCGCAAAGTTTGCACCCCGAGTTGGGTCAAAAAACTCTCTCTGTCCCTTTACTAATATAAAGTCTCCTGTGTTTTACATCCAGAAGAGCAGAATACAAAACGGAGGAGGTAAATGTTGAACGATGGGCCTCAGCGGGAAAACTAAACTATTTCAGGCAGTTGATTACAGGAAGGATATTAAAACAATGGAAAAAAGGAGCAGCAGGCGTTCTACAGAGACGTTATTGGGAATTAAGGAATTTAAAATCTGAAGACAGAGTTGGGAAGTTAAGGCTTTCCACTTTTTCTTGACCAACCGAGTGTCTAACGCACGTGGAAACCCATCACTGTTGCTTAAGAGTCTCCAAACCAGACGAAGAATTCCGTGTCTGCCACCTACACATTGAAATTTCCCTGTGTCTGGATTGGACTGCGCCCTCTCTTCCTGGCGGGACGCACCCTGCTTACCTAATTCTGGAGAGTATTAGGCACAGGTTGGTGAGGGAAGGTGAGGGTTGGATGGAGGGTTGGGAGTCGAGTGGTGGGTGATGGGCAGACGGGAAAGAGAGAGGGTGGAGGAGAGGGTGTGGGGGGAAGAGTAATAATAATAATAATAATCCTTGCATTTGATATAGCGCCTTATCACGTTATTGAGACGTCGCAAAGTGCTTCACAGGACATACGGTAAAGTGGATTGACTGTATATTTTGGGGGCGAAACGCGGCAGCCAATTGTGCACAGCAGTGTCCCACAAACAGTCGTGGATTGAATGACCAAATTTTTTCTGAGGAGGGATTATTACCCCATAGAGTGATCCGCCAATTGACTGTTTACTGCCAGGTAAATAGAGTCGTGTGGAGTACGAATACTTGTCTAAGGTTTTGCCCTGCCCAGGAATTGAACCCGGGTCCTCTCGTTTGTGAGGTGAGTGCCCTAACCGCTGAGCTACGGGACTCCACAATGAATAAAGTGTGGATGTGGGGGCTGACGGTTCCAGAAAGCAGGAACTGGAGCCGGTGATTTCACTACAATGACACAGAACGTCACTCCCTCGCTGTCTCTCTCTCTCCCTCTCTCCCCCCTGTGATGCTGATATCTGGTCAGTCAACATTGAAACTGGATTTCATCCTGATCTCATTGATTCCCGGTCAGACATTGGCAACACAGTGTGTGGTTTCCAGCAGTGCCTGTCTCGCTCGCTCGCTCGCTCAGCTGAACCTCGACACACACTCACTCACACAGACACACTAGATGCAACAAGGCAGAGTGAGAGCCAAAGCCACGTGAGTGAGTGTCTCTTTAAGGGGGCTGGGGGTGGCGTTCGTGTTCGCTAACTTATCTTTGAAGGGTTAAGGACAGAAGGCAAAGTGCCGAGGGAGGGAGAGAGAGAGAGAGAGAGAAATTTGGCTTCTGGTAATGTTGTGATCTGGCTCCTCTTTTCCGTTTTTATTTCCAAATTGCTTTGCATCCGACGTGGCGGGTGGAGAAGGCTGGATTTTTTGCGGGCTCAGCCTCTCCCCGATGTGGGGCAGTGAGGGACGCTGTGTGTGCATGTGCGCAGGATGTCTCTCGTGGTCCTGCCAGGTCTCCTCACAGACGCTGACTGGTTGCAGTTTGCCTGGGTCTGCGGGTTGGTGTGCAGCACTCTGACTCTCTGGATCCTATTTCTGTCCTGTGGGTTCACCAACCCTCCCGGCACACACACCTGGATTGTCACAGACACAGGTAAGCCACGACGGTGACAACAGCTTGCACTTAGACAGCGCCTGCAAATGTTTACGGTCGATCCACTTTGCGGTGTATCCTGCGAAGAGGTGACAAGGCGCGATAACAAATGCAAGGATTATTATTATTAATAAATCATTCGGGGCAGCGTCTCGGAGCGCTTAAAGCAGCGGGGTGGGGAGGGAGGGAGGGAGTGAGGGGAGAGAGGGGAGAGGCAGAGAGAGAGGAAGGGAGGGAGGGAAGGGAGTGGGCGTGCAGATGACTAAAACTACTTGTGGAAAGCAAAACAGGGCTGGAGAGTTTAAACTAAACTAACCGCTGCCTGGCCCCATCAGCATAGCTCACTCAGCTCCAGGGAAACGCTGACGAGTCTTTTGTGGGCAAGACGATGAATGGTTAATAGATGTTTCATTCCAGTTACTGAGGGGCATAAAATGCTCGTAAAGGCAGACCAGCCTCTAATGAGGTCCAGATGACACTTTTCATGCAGTTAAACTGCAACACGCAAAGCAGCGCTGTGTGGGAACCACATTGGAAGCATGTTCCCAAATTTCTGTTTAATCTCCTCACCGCAGCACGTACAACAATAACAACGATGTTACATTTGTACAGCGGCTTTTACGTTGGGAGGACGTCCCAAGGCACTCGACAGTCAGTGCTTCAGACCCGAGCTAGGGGTCAGGGTGGGGGAGAGTGGAGGGCAGGGGTGGGGAAGCAGGGAGATCGAAAGCACGGTCGAAGGGGAGGGTCTTGAGATGGGTCTTAAAGGAGGCAAGGGAGGGGGCGAGGCGGAGGGACAGCGGGATGGAGTACCAGAGGGTGAGGGCAGAGTGGCGGAAAGCCCGCCTGCCAATAGAGGAGCAAGCAAGGCGGGAGACATGAAGCAGGCTGTAGCCCGCTGAGCGGAGAG